TCACTGAGAATTCTCACTCAAAATTCTCACCGAGAATTCTCACTGAGAATTGTATTGTGTTATTTTATTTTATTGATTGATTCTTTTATTCTCATTCTACGTGACTTTACCGAAAGAACCAAAGAAGACTAAATAGTTTAGTTCGGATGAATTAGAATTGTGGGGGGGTCGGGTGGGGGGCCAACGCCTCTTAAGCACGGTGTCATCGTCGGCGTGGTCTGACCCCGCGTTGTTGTTAGCCACCCATTTTTTTGACCCCGAGCTTGACCTTTGTGCTCACTGCGCTCACCTTCATCTCTGTCGACTTCTAACGACGTTGGAGTCAACGACGTTGGAGTTAACGACGTTGGAGTTAACGACGTTGTGGAGTTAACGACGTTGGGGTTAACGACGTTGGGGCTAACGACGTTGGAGTTAACGACGTTGGAGTTAACGACGTTGGAGTCAACGACGTTGGAGTCAACGACGTTGGAGTTAACGTCGTTGGAGTTAACGACGTTGGAGTTAACGACGTTGGAGTTAACGACGTTGGGGTTAACGACGTTGGGGCTAACGACGTTGGAGTTAACGACGTTGGAGTTAACGACGTTGGAGTTAACGACGTTGTGGAGTTAACGACGTTGGAGGTAACGACGTTGGAGTTAACGACGTTGGAGTTAACGACGTTGGAGTTAACGACGTTGGAGTTAACGACGTTGGAGTTAGCGACGTTGGAGTCAACGACGTTGGAGTTAACGACGTTGGAGCTAACGACGTTGGAGTTAACGACGTTGGAGTTAACGACGTTGGAGCTAACGACGTTGGAGTTAACGACGTTGGAGTTAACGAGGTTGGAGTTAACGACGTTGGAGTCAACGACGTTGGAGTTAACGACGTTGGAGTCAACGACGTTGGAGTTAACGACGTTGGAGTTAACGACGTTGGAGTTAACGACGTTGGAGTCAACGACGTTGGAGTTAACGACGTTGGAGTTAACGTCGTTGGGGTTAACGACGTTGGAGTTAACGACGTTGGAGTTAACGACGTTGGAGTTAACGACGTTGTGGAGTTAACGACGTTGGAGCTAACGACGTTGGAGTTAACGACGTTGGAGTCAACGACGTTGGAGTTAACGACGTTGGAGCTAACGACGTTGGAGTTAACGACGTTGGAGTTAACGACGTTGGAGCTAACGACGTTGGAGTTAACGACGTTGGAGTTAACGACGTTGGAGTCAACGACGTTGGCGTCAACGACGTTGGGGCTAGCGACGTTGGAGTTAACGACGTTAGAGTTAACGACGTTGGAGTCAACGTCGTTAGAGTTAACGACGTTGGAGTTAGCGACGTTGGAGTTAACGACGTTGGAGTTAACGACGTTGGAGTCAACGTCGTTGGGGTTAACGACGTTGGAGTTAACGACGTTGGAGTTAACGACGTTGGAGTTAACGACGTTGGAGTTAACGACGTTGGAGTTCACGACGTTGGAGTCAACGACGTTGGAGTTAACGACGTTGGAGTTAACGTCGTTGGAGTTAACGACGTTGGAGTTAACGTCGTTGGAGTTAACGTCGTTGGAGTTAACGTCGTTGGAGTTAACGACGTTGGAGTTAACGACGTTGGGGTTAACGACGTTGGAGTTAACGTCGTTGGAGTTAACGACGTTGGAGTTAACGAGGTTGGAGTTAACGTCGTTGGAGTTAACGTCGTTGGAGTTAACGACGTTGGAGTTAACGACGTTGGAGCTAACGTCGTTGGAGTTAACGACGTTGGAGTTAACGACGTTGGAGTTAACGACGTTGGAGTTATTGATTTTACTTCCGTGTTCACCGACGATGAGTCACTCGCTCACCTTAATTTTTCCGAACTTCTAGCGTCGTTGGAGGCAACCACGTTGCTGGGAATGCATTAATTATTTATATTCCCCCACCCCACCCCCCCGAGCCCTCCCTCCCCCCCACGTTTCACCACCACTACCGCAGAGGGGAAAGTCCCAGCCGCATTCTTTCCTAAGGCCAGGGGGTCGAAGGTCAGGTTCGCTGCCGCCCCTAGGAGAGATGTGGCCAGATGTGTTGGCCGTGGTCTCCTGCCCCAACTCGCAATTCACGAGCAACTTTCACCTCGTTCTATTGATTTACTTGGACCGGGTAAGGCCCCCCTGGGCCGCTGTGAAGGAAGCCCTTTGTCAGGTGGCTCATCTTCATCATCGTCGTCATCGTCGTAATAATCATCATCGTTATCGTCGTCATCATCATCGTTGTCATCGTCGTCGTCGTCATCGTCGTTGTCATCGTCGTCGTCATCGTCGTCGTCATCGTCGTCATCATCGCACATTGATTCGACAGACGCACAGAGACCCATGCTCATAGAGACCCACAGAGACCCATGCTCATAGAGACCCACAGAGACCCATGCTCATAGAGACCCACAGAGACCCATACTCATAGAGACCCACAGAGACCCACAGAGACCCATGCTCATAGAGACCCATACTCACAGAGACCCATACTCATAGAGACCCACAGAGACCCACAGAGACCCATACTCATAGAGACCCATACTCATAGAGACCCACAGAGACCCATACTCATAGAGACCCACAGAGACCCATACTCATAGAGACCCACAGAGACCCATACTCATAGAGACCCACAGAGACCCATACTCATAGAGACCCACAGAGACCCATACTCATAGAGACCCACAAACTCACAGAGACCCATACTAAAACTGCATTTTTATTTGACCAGGTAAGTCTATGGGTCTCTGAGTGGTGAGTCTGTGGGTCTCTGAGTGATGAGTCTATGGGTCTCTGAGTGGTGAGTCTATGGGTCTCTGTGTGATGAGTCTATGGGTCTCTGTGTGATGAGTCTATGGGTCTCTGAGTGTTGAGTCTATGGGTCTCTGTGTGATGAGTCTATGGGTCTCTGAGTGTTGAGTCTATGGGTCTCTGTGTGATGAGTCTATGGGTCTCTGTGTGATGAGTCTATGGGTATCTGTGTGGTGAGTCTATGGGTCTCTGTGTGATGAGTCTATGGGTCTCTGTGTGATGAGTCTATGGGTTTCTGTGTGGTGAGTCTATGGGTCTCTGTGTGATGAGTCTATGGGTCTCTGTGTGATGAGTCTATGGGTTTCTGTGTGATGAGTCTATGGGTCTCTGAGTGATGAGTCTATGGCTCTCTGTGTGATGAGTCTATGGGTCTCTGTGTGGTGAGTCTATGGGTCTCTGTGTGATGAGTCTATGGGTCTCTGTGTGATGAGTCTATGGGTTTCTGTGTGGTGAGTCTATGGGTCTCTGTGTGATGAGTCTATGGGTCTCTGTGTGATGAGTCTATGGGTTTCAGTGTGATGAGTCTATGGGTCTCTTTGTGATGAGTCTATGGGTTTCTGTGTGGTGAGTCTATGGGTCTCTGTGTGATGAGTCTATGGGTCTCTGTGTGATGAGTCTATGGGTTTCAGTGTGATGAGTCTATGGGTCTCTTTGTGATGAGTCTATGGGTCTCTGTGTGATGAGTCTATGGGTCTCTGTGTGATGAGTCTATGGGTCTCTGTGTGATGAGTCTATGGGTCTCTGTGTGATGAGTCTATGGGTCTCTGTGTGATGAGTCTATGGGTCTCTGTGTGATGAGTCTTTGGGTCTCTGTGTGATGAGTCTATGAGTCTCTGAGTGATGAGTCTATGGGTCTCTGTGTGATGAGTCTATGGGTCTCTATGTGATGAGTCTGTGGGTCTCTGTGTGGTGAGTCTGTGGGTCTCTGTGTGATGAGTCTATGGGTCTCTGTGTGATGAGTCTATGGGTCTCTGTGTGATGAGTCTATGGGTCTCTATGTGATGAGTCTGTGGGTCTCTGTGTGGTGAGTCTGTGGGTCTCTGTGTGATGAGTCTATGGGTCTCTGTGTGATGAGTCTATGGGTCTCTGTGTGATAAGTCTATGGGTCTCTGTGTGATGAGTCTATGGGTCTCTGTGTGATGAGTCTATGGGTCTCTGTGTGATGAGTCTATGGGTCTCTGTATGATGAGTCTATGGGTCTCTATGTGATGAGTCTGTGGGTCTCTGTGTGGTGAGTCTGTGGGTCTCTGTGTGATGAGTCTATGGGTCTCTGTGTGATGAGTCTATGGGTCTCTGTGTGATAAGTCTATGGGTCTCTGTGTGATGAGTCTATGGGTCTCTGTGTGATGAGTCTATGGGTCTCTGTGTGATGAGTCTATGGGTCTCTGTGTGATGAGTCTATGGGTCTCTGTGTGATGAGTCTATGGGTCTCTGTGTGATGAGTCTATGGGTCTCTGTGTGATGAGTCTTTGGGTCTCTGTGTGATAGTCTATGAGTCTCTGAGTGATGAGTCTATGGGTCTCTGTGTGATGAGTCTATGGGTCTCTGTGTGATGAGTCTATGGGTCTGTGTGATGAGTCTATGGGTCTCTGTGTGATGAGTCTATGGGTCTCTGTGTGATGAGTCTATGGGTCTCTGTGTGATAAGTCTATGGGTCTCTGTGTGATGAGTCTATGGGTCTCTGTGTGATGAGTCTATGGGTCTCTGTGTGATGAGTCTATGGGTCTCTGTGTGGTGAGTCTATGGGTCTCTGTGTGATGAGTCTGTGGGTTTCTGTGTGATGAGTCTATGGGTCTCTGTGTGATGAGTCTATGGGTTTCTGTGTGATGAGTCTATGGGTTTCTGTGTGATGAGTCTATGGGTCTCTGTGTGATGAGTCTATGGGTCTCTGTGTGATGAGTCTATGGGTCTCTGTGTGATGAGTCTATGGGTCTCTGTGTGGTGAGTCTATGGGTCTCTGTGTGATGAGTCTGTGGGTCTCTGTGTGATGAGTCTATGGGTCTCTGTGTGATGAGTCTATGGGTTTCTGTGTGATGAGTCTATGGGTCTCTGTGTGATGAGTCTGTGGGTCTCTGTGTGATGAGTCTATGGGTCTCTGTGTGATGAGTCCATGCCCCTCCCCCTCCATGCCCCTCCCCTTCCATGCCCCTCCCCTTCCACGCCCCTCCCCCCCCCCCTTCCACGTGACTCAG